TTGAATCAAGTTAAATATATATATATATATATATATATATATATATAAATATACATATATTCTGATAGCCCATTGACTGTAGGAGGAACTTTGTAAGGAAGTTTAACATCATAATCTGTACAAAATGGGGTCTGAATAAATATTACACATAAATCTCCTATTTATTACCTACCCCATCTTTTAATTATTTTCAGTTGTATGATATACTTACATATGACTGCACACACATATAAACACACACAGAGAGAGGTATTTTGCACAAGGCATTTGTTAGACAGCTGGGAATATTTTGCTAGGTCACAGCTGAACCTGTGAGTTAGGAAACTGAAATGTCTGTGTTGTGTTGCGTACTTTCTGTAAAGTTCTGCATTACTTAGAAAAGCTGGTTACAATACAAATACATTGAATGAGGTATTTTTGCAACTGGGTTAGAAATTTCCAAAGTGAAAGAAGGACATACAACTTCTCTGCTCTCTGTCCATCTCTTTTTTGTTACCTTAAGGGGAAAAAAATAAAAGAGAGGGAAATGTGAAGGGAGGCCTGCAATATCTTGTGGGGCAGGTGTTGAAAGGAAGAGCAAAGGAGAATCAGCATGCAGGCAGGTCTTTAGTTTTTCAATAGTGTGGTTTTGTGATAATGTTACATGGCAAAGCCATGGAAGCAGCATCAACCAAGAAGATTATGTATTTTGGGTTATATTTCTTTCTAAAATAAATGTTTTATATAATTTACCCTTGCTGGTTTGGATATGACTGTGAGAAAAGAGAGGATTTTGATTTGGTAGGTGATTAAAAATCCTTAGGAGAAGCTTGAAACAAAAGACAAATTTGTGTTCCAGTATTGATGTGGAATGTGTAGAATGAAGTGTTTGAGACATTTTTAGAGTAAGTCCAAATGTACAAGAAAATCTTCAGATGTTTTCAGGCTTTGACAACACGCTGAGGGCTCAGATTGTATGAGATCTCTTAAAGAGAGTACAAAAGTGAGATGAAAGTGACTGGATTAAACCTGGAAGAAAATGCTGCTAAAAGATAGTGGGAGTGATATATACTGCTAGGAAATTATAATTAGGGAGGATTCAGAATAGCAAAGGATTTGCTTGCTCTCTCAGCACTGAATGATCCTGCTCAAAGCTGTAAATAAAAGATGAGCCTTTGATTTGATTAGGATAAGGTTATTCATAACCTTTATAAAAGCATCTTCAGCAAAGTAAAAAAGGACCATCAGAATTAAGCAAAAAAAAAAAAAAAAAGCAAGTGGTATAAATTGTGTATCTAAGCAGGAGAAGTATATAACTTTTCCTGCTTAGATATGCAATTTCTGAGCATGGAAAGAAGCCATTTTAAATTGAATGTTGTGGTCTTCACTATCTGACTCTTGATTATGTTCTCTGCCAATGTTATGATTTTGTTTGTAAGATTGTAAACCAAAACATTCTTCTATAAAAGAGTTTTGATAGTGTAGAGCCACCACAGGAAGTTTAAATTTACTGGAATATGCTTGTGGATTGTTTCACTCTTGAGATGTTGGTCTTGACAGCTGTCTCTTCTTCCAGAAAGAATAAGCTGCAGGTGTTTGTAGCCAATCATCTTTTCCATAGAGGAAACAGTTGATAGCTTGCATGTAAGAAATGTAAGGATCTTCTCTGAAAGTGACCTAATCAGGCAGCTTTCCAGAGACTGCACTGCTGGATTTCAGTTTCTTCAGTGAGATCAAGTTGTTGATTCACCAATGTTGTTGTCTAGTTATACTCAGGTATTCTAAAGGCCAGGCTGTCTCATTACAAACAAGATCAAGCATTAACCAATGTTCATTTCCTACGGAGTGTCTTCAGGCAAACAACACCTCCAACTGTTCCAGCTGGTACAAGACCACTGCAATGTCATAACACAAGATCACGCTTTGATGTTTGCTGGATATTGCTTTAAACAGAGCGGCTTTTACTCAAAACCAATAGGAGTCTGCTCTTTGCTAGTTATGTCTGATACATTTGAACTATTTCTTAAAATTACACTGCTTATAAATTATTGGAATCTGCCTGGACATCACAAGCAAAGCTGAAAAAAAATTAGATGCACATTCAGAGTGTGGAATTTAGGGTAGGGTTGCAGACATTCCGTTGTCAGCAAAATTAAACTCTTCACTTTAATGTCTTTTGTGCCTTCTAAATACTCTGAGTTCTGTCAAAATGCCAGGACATTGGCAGGACACTTCAGCCTAGTGTTTGTGCCAGAAGTTTGGAGATACTGGTCACATATGTAGACTTACGGGATGTTTTTTGATCTTTGTGTGTGTTGAGATTCCATATTAATTTTCTAAAACATATTCATTTAAGGAAAGGGTCACACTTTCAGGGCACTTGCACTTCTGACCACTTCTGTTCTCTGATGCACACCCTTTTCCATACATTCAGACAGTTCCTAAATATTTTTAACTGCTGTGGTTACAAAAACCCTGCTTAATGAAAGCTCTAACAGGACAAGCTCAGCTTGGAAAATACCTCATGTATGCCCATGGATAGTGGCTATAGTACTCAAACTGCCCTACTCTATACCCCAGTGTTTGAAGGTTTGTCATCTATCTTGTGGTCATTGGCTCAGCTCTAGAAGAAAACCAAAACATATCACCCTACTTAGACTTGAATCCCCAGTTAATAGCTTCCATAAAGACTTCTGACTTTTCATGAAAGCATCCTGTCCTAAAAATTATTCCCTGGGCATTTAATGTTTTTAAGTTGAATTCTCCTGCTCTCTTTTCTTCGTGTCTTCTATTGAGCCCTATCTGTTAACATTTTCTTTTGAAGCCACTAGTATCAGACACATAAACAAAAGAACTTCTCTGTCTTCTTTTTATTTGTTGAATCAACAAGCAATATCTATTTTAGCGACCGGATTCATTATTCTGTGACAACACTTGCACACTAGAGATAAAAAGCAGTACTTTTGGCTGGAGCATGAAGCTGTCAAACTTCTTCACTCAAGTAGAATGAGCATTTAAGCTGTTAGAGTTCTGAAACCTTTGTAACAACTGTAGTATGTTGTTGTCCTTTTGCAGACAATAATTACAAGGCAGTTGATTAGACAGTTGATACACAACTAGGAGAGGATGAACTGTGCAAGGATCATTAAATTTGCTTTTAAAAGGCCTGCAGTTTAAAATAGCATCAGGCTTGTTTGTTTAGGGAGACTTCTCACAGTTACATTAGGGAGAGCAGTGCTTTTACCACTCAGACCTCTCATTGGAAATGATTGCTTATAGATCATCTATAGGTCTCCAGCCACAGAGAAAACCAAAACATTTGTTTTGTATTTGTATTCATTTAATTTTTAAAATGTTGGGAAGAAAAAGGCCAGTATAGAGTATTTTAATACCAAATGTTTCCTTAGTAAAGGAAATTTCAGCTGCATTTCTACTTCAGCACCAGTTGATGGTTGCTTTAGTAATTAAAAGTCTTTCTCAATATTGATATGGTTTGTATCCAAAACTCCTGTGATATACTTTTGAAATGTTTGGATTTGTTTTGAATCAGTACTTGGACTTAATAAATGACAGTATTAAGATAATGGAGTACTCTAGCTTTAAGAATTGCATTGGAAGCAAATAATTCCTATCTGTTGTGCAGCTTAATGATTTTGTCTCTTCTCTAATTTGCTTTGTTAATATCATTGAAATTGGCCCTGTTACTTCAGTAATTATTTTCTGACACATTGTGTCATCTGGGATATTTCATTTCCAAGGGCAAGGAAGGCGGTTCTACTCAAAATCATTGAACAGGGACTGTTTAATAACATGACAGATCCTCTAAGAATCATTTTCAAAAGACTTAATTTCCTCTGTCCCAAGCTGCAAATGATGATTTCTCGTTCTGAATAGGTTTTCTTGGGTTTTGATTTTTTGTTTCTTGCAGGGGTGGGGTGGGGTGGTGTTTGTTTCCTTATTTATTCGTTTGTGTGGAAGCTTCATTATTTATAGTTTCACTTTTCTAAAAGGTGTCATATATAGCCTGTCATAAAATAATACAGTTTTTAAATTACAAGTGTTTTGTGTTTGAAATAAAAGGATAACTACTTGCAGTAACTCTTGAAGCACACTGAACATCTCTTTCCACTCAAATAATGTAGTGGTATTTAATAGAACTGATAATAGTTTCAGGCAGCCAAGATACTTGGTTACTAAGTTCTGTTTTCGTGATTTTTTTGCTGTGAGCTATTGTTCTGGAATGTACTGAAATGTTTGTTGAATGCCTAAGAAAGTTACAGTCATAACTTTATTGCTACAAGCACATTGAGAAGGTAGTTTTCACTCCACTGCCAGATGATACCATGACTAAGGAGTGTTACTATTTGGAGTAAAAGAAGGAATAGAACCCAGACTGAATAAATAAAAGCACATTTAATAGATCATGTCTTTTTTTTTTACAGTGGGAATCTGCTTGTAAATGGGAAATGCGGTATTCTTACAGCTTAAGCTTCTTACACAATGACAGACTTCAAAAAAATATGTTTTAAAAAGTATCATTATTGTCTTTTACTGCCTTTGTAAGTGAAAAATTCCTTAAAACTATAGAATTTTTCCCTCTTTGATTTATAACTCTGCAGTAGCCTGGCAAATCCAGATAATTTCATCATAAATACTGTTTTACTGAGACGTGCACACTTTTTCCTTTCCGTTTTGCTTTCATTTTCCCTTCCCCTTTTTCTCTTGTTACTTGTTCCCAAGAACGTCTCCAGAGGTGATGATTTTTTTATGCCAGAGTATCAGGTAAAAGTGAGCATCTATATGTAATTTAAAGTCCGTAAGAATTTGATTGTATTTTTTCATACTAGAAACCTGGCTCATTCAGTTCCTGAGGCTGAAACAGTTCCTCTTTGCTACTTTTGTCAATAACTGTTTGAATAACTTTGTTACATTATACCTTGCTGAAGCCTTCTAAAACTACTCCATCTGTTATAATTGGCTTATTTTCTCTTTTACTCTTATCTTTTCTCTTTTCTGTACAGGTGATTTCTATTCACTCCTTTCTAAGCTGCTAGGAGAAAGGGAAGATGTTGTACATATGCATAAGCATAACCCTACAGAAAAAGCAGAATCAGATCTTGTAGCAGAGATTGCTAATGTAGTCCAAAAGAAGGATCTTGCCAGAGAGATCGCAAATCATGATGAAAGGGACAATACTATTCTTGTGAGAGACAGAACTCAGAAATTTCACAGACTAGAGTCTACCATGAGGCCACCAGAGAACAGACATTTCTCTTTACAACAGTCTAAACATGGTGAGGGAGGCTGGGAAAAAGAACATAAAGGAGGTGGGTTGGGGTTAATTTTATACAATGAAATGCAATGCAAGAGCTGGGATCCGCATTAGCAAAATCTGAAGGGAATTTCAATGGAGGCTTGGAAGTATTCTACATGACGTTCTTTCTAATTATTGCAATATTCTCCCTCTGATTTAGAGGTATTTCACTGGGGTTCTTTCCCCATCCACGTGTCAAGAAAGAATGTGTGGTGATGGCACAATACCAGTACTGCAGTACAGTATTATTTTCTACTCTTACAACTTTTACTTAATGATTTTATATTGGTTATGCTAAAACAAGGTACACATAGGATATAGTAGTCACAGGAAATGAAGAATTTAATACAAGTAACTACCATAAAATGGTCACTGGAATAATCAATACCTTTTATGAGTTTGGTGACTACCTTAATCTATCAGATACACAATTTTATAAAATTTATTGCTGTAATTCTATCAGATATTTTTCTCTCATTCAGAAAGAGTGGTAGGTAATCCTGCAAAATTCTTCAGAAGTAACATTTTCTGCCTATTGATTTCAAATTGGGCTTGACTCTCCAAATATTCTTGTACAGATGGTTTTATTGTGATAGAAATATAATTTATTCCCTTCAGGTTTCTATGACTGCAGAAACCATGGAATTACTGTGTTTGTTTTACTTTCATTTTGGTCTCTGTGATATCGAGTGTCCTTAGCCTTACTTGCTAATGTGGAAAGCCAAATGCAGCATGTGATAAGTATCTCATAGAATAAGCTGATATGTGTGCATGAAAGCCATCTGTATCCATAAGCTGTAGGCACACATGCCAGCTTTTATGTTATAACCACCCAGATTGATGTTTCTAAGTACTTTTGTACACATATATGTATCATCCATCAACCATTTAATTTTTATTTCAGTTCATAATGTTAGCATGTATTGTCTCTGCTTCTAAGTCGTGGGTTTGTATTTAAAAGAAAGCCAAAAATGAGGACTTGCCAGTGTTACATTGTGTGATCCAGTTAAATAAGAGCCCATCAAATTATTGGCGTAGGGACAAAAAAACAGGTGGAATGATACTATGTGCCTGACATATGTGTAAATCATAAATAATTCCATAAACCTGACTGGAATTAAATGTTCAAGAAAGTAATGTGGATAGCATTTCTTCCGTGTGGATGGTTTGTTCAGTTTAGACTAATAACATGTGGTGCACACAAAGAAAGAAGAATATTCCTTTCTATTTTCACTGATCCAGAAGAGGGAATGTCAGTGAGCTGAATAAATGACTCAGTTTGACATACCTTACAGCATGAATTCTAACTGCAGAAAGTATTTTCTTGGATATGTCAGTAGCCATATATTCATTTGGGGTTAACTTGTTGGTGGGGGACTAAGTAATAAATGAACTTTCAAATTATGCAATTTTTGAGTTATAGGAAAAAAGTAAACTGACATTTTCTCCATTAGTATTTTTGGGCGTGTTTTTTTATGTTTGTAATACCTTTAATCACAGAATTTCTGACCTGCTAAGCCGTCACTACCATCTTTTAGTAAAAGAACTTCTGTAGCAATAAAATATTTAAGCATATATTTAGTTTCTTTTTAGGGAAGTATTTATGTATTTAAAACAAAATCTTCCATAAGAGAATTTTCCTCCTCAGGGGAAGAAGTAAAGTTGTCTTGATTTAATGAAAAATTTATCCCCTTTGTAAGACCTTTACTGTATTGAATTTAAAAAATTCTCAGTTTTCTTAGGGCAAGACTCTGCTATTAAATTAATTTCATTTAACTGTTTAAAAATCACCAGTATTAAAATAGTTTAATATTTTTAGTCTTGCGAATATTCCAATTTTTAACATGTAATTGGTCTGAATTGGTCTGAAATACCAAGTGGCTAATACAGTAAGTAAAGTTGTTACAAACATTCAAACTTTAATACTACTGCTCTTCCTGTACTATGGTTAGCTTGTTAACCTAGGCTGGTCATTAATCTGTCAAGTTGTTTAATATCACTGCAGCTAGTACAATTATACCCTCTAAATATGTCAGAGTGTAATTCTCCAGTTTTCAAAACTCCTTTGTGTATTGCTTAATTAAATTTGTCAAGACTTAAATGAGTGCTCTGATCACACAGAGTGCAACATGACTTAAAGTTCACAAAGTTAAAAGCTAGAATGATCTTCCAGGAAATTCTGGATATTAAATTACAGTTGTGTCAGTAAATAAGGCTTTCATCTTTCACTACTTTAGAGACTTAATTGCATGTTCTAAATTTAGGTAATCTCTTCCTTTTTTTCTTTTTTAATGGAAGGAACTACTCCAAGTTGAAAACTAGAAGATCTGGTACCTAGTTTAGAGATCTCATTCACAAGAAAACTGGTGATCTTGTTTTTTCTAAGTAATTATAAATTACTTAAATGGGGAAACTAATTTTCATTAGTCTCATATGAAACTGTTCCATGGACCACTTATTCTCGTAGGGAAATAAGTAATAAGTCTTAGATAAAGGAAGTCTAAATTTATTGAGTTTTTGTAAAAAGCTAGTTGCTGTGAGATAAACCTGTATAAAGAACTTTCAGAATGGACTTGCAAAGGAAAAAGAAAATACAATACTCATTAACAAATTTTGGAAAAATGTGATAAAATCTAAAGATTTTATTGAGGCTAAAGCTCTTGTGATTAGATTGTATTTCACTGTACATTCATTTTATTGTTTTGATCTGTCAGAAATCTTTTATTCCTTTAAGTATAAACATTTTCTATTTTGTAGTGTGTGTTTTCCGAGAGACTAAATGGAGACCTAAATAGAGGTCCTATGTTTAGCCTTTTATTTTTTCTAGCTTTTTAAAAAAGGCTCAGAGGCCTCCGTAACATGAAACATAGACAAGCTTACTGGAGTTTAACATAAAGTGATACTGGATGAGCAAGTGAGGAAGCAGATACTCAATTTCCATTCTCTTATTCCTTCCAAATCAAAACTTCTGTGAATATACTTGGCACTGCACCTGCTGTGATCAACTCAACTCTACAGAAGGATGAATACCTGTTTTTAACAGCTTTTCCTTTAGCGTGCAACTTTTGTTCAACTAAAATTTCTACAGGGCGGGATTTCTTGTTTTAGAAGTTTCTGATTACTGTCCTGGATACACTGCAGTTGCTGATAGCTTTTAGGTTTCTTTTAGGTCACCTACTCTAGCTTATGATATCACAGTCCAAACAGGTAAAACATCTCCTAGTCTGCAGTAGGTTTTCAGCACTGGTTTCATATTTCTCTTTAATAAGTTGTAGAGAATGATTTTCCCTCCACTTCATTCCTGTTGTTCCTTCTCAGACTACATCTCTTTCAAGTGAAATCCAAGGGGAGGGTATTATCAGGACAGATGGGTTGCACAGGTGGCTTAAGATTTTATACATGGTTTCTCATTAATTTTGCCTTTAATTGGAAAATCACTTCCAGGTGAAGGTGAACCCTCTCAGACTCTTTGGGTGCTGTGTTTTAAGAACTGTGATCTGTCTTCTTTCAAAGCAGGATGCCCTGGCACTTTGTGAATTTGGAAATCTTTTTCACCTGCCTAGATGATATCCCAGTGATTGTGCTTTAGGATCAGAGCAGAACTCACAAACTTCGGGTGAACTAAAAATTGCACAGTAAAGCATGGTTGCTTTCACACACACTGACTTAGTGAAGTGGCTCCAGTTTCACATAACTTCAAAGAAATTGCTTCTTATTTGCTATCAGTTTGGCTGTATGTGCCTACATGCTGATTATGCATTGTAGAAATACCTGAATTATGCTCAACAAATCAATTTCTGAAAGGAAGCAGCCGTGGATTTCCTAAAATGTAGAACAAATTCTAGAATTTTTCTTTCTCATTTCTTTCTATTTTATCAGAATTAGTGAGATCTCTTTTGCCATTACATTTTTTATTTTTGATAATCTAGTTCATTTGTCTCAATACACTGCCAGAGCCACATAAGAGCAATCTCTTCGAAATAGTATTTACGTAGGTCATCTGTGAGAAATTAATCCTTGCAGTCAACTCCCAGCCACTTTTCAAATATTGAACAGTTTTTGCCTTTTATCCTTGTCACTCTGCTTTTACATAAGAGAGATTGAAGAGATCATACTTTTATATTTTTAATGCCAAAACTAAATTTCTCTCCCTTAGTTGAGTTTTATCATTTTACAGTTTAAGACACGTACAAGAAGTCTTCTTTTCTTAGCGTTAAAAGCTTTAATAGAAAAAAAACAAACCCAAACATTATTCACCTTACACATGTTTCGTTTAGTGATTCATGGTATTTATTATGCATTTTTTAATCAAATACTGATAGGTAATATTATAATTTTCTTGCTGATTTCAATTGTATATTTTTGTAATCTTTCAGTGTAGTAAGCATTTACAGAGCTTCTATACATATCCTTATAAGTTGGAGAAAAGAATGGAATCAAAAGCAGTTTTTACATTTCTGTCATCTATACATAACAGGTTGCCAGTGCTTGTGCATGATTTACTATGTTAAAACTATGTTTGGAATTGAATTGCAATGCATTGAATGGAAATACTGCATGTAAGAAAATGTCCACATAATTCCCAATAGTCTGTACCAAATGCCTGTTAACCATAATCGGATTTATTTAGAAATAAGCTACGTGATTATCTTTTTCATCTTTTTATTTATTTATTTATTTATTTGGTCAGATTTTCACATAGAAGAGGCTGTGGAGTGGCCTGGACTAGACCTCAAACTAGGCCAAGTTTCTGGGTTGGCTCTGGACCTTCAAAATAACCTAGTTGTCTTCCACAGAGGTGATCGTATTTGGGATGAAAAGTAAGTAGAGACCCTTGCCGAATGGTGAGTTAGAAGGTTGGATTCCTGTGTGCTGTTTACATACCTTCTCAAGAAAAGACAGACTGAAGTTCTTTTTCCATTTAAAAATTCAGTTCTTTGGCTGAAAATGTGTTTCAGAAACTCAGAATAGAAATGGTGACTGACAATTCAAGATGATGAGTTATTAGATCTTTAGACAGTAAGAATGTGTCTCCAGAGGAAAAGAACATAGTACATTTGGTCCTTAAACTGTATGACCACATTAGTATGATATTCACTGAGATTAATTATCCCTACCTCTCCATGTCTCTTAGCAGGCATTATTAGCCTGGGTGAATAATGTTTTAGTATGGTATACTGCAGTTAGTACTTCGGTTTAAGAAATGCAAAGCTATGTCCATTCTTCTTTATGTACTCTGAAAAAAAAGGGATTGTTAAAAGGTACTCTCTCAAAACAAACTTTGTTCTACCCATTTGATAAAATTTTCTACATTTAGCATCACTCAAACCAAAAAATGTCCGAACTCTGTAATGGTGGTCTAGTGTTTGTAAAATTATATAGTCAGAGGTATATTATTTTAAGAACAGAACATTCCAACAAAGAGTACTGTCTTTATTTTTGCACTGTTCTTATGTCTTTGATTTTTAAAATTGTCTATGTGTTTATATGGATACTTTTGAAATTGAAAGAGAATGCTGGGAGAAGCAGTACAAGCCTGTGACATGTTATGTGGCACCCTATAAGGCTAAAGGGTAGGGCTGTTTTCAAATCCTGATTAATTCATTTAAAGATAACATCATGTCTGAAAAATAGGACAGTATTCTGAACATTATGATAACAAATTATGTTTAGAATAGTGTTTCATGAAAGAAAATAAGTTATTTTGGTTTTAAGGTAAATAACATAATGCAGCAGATAAGGCAATAATTTGTTTCTCATACAGTATTCTCATGCGTCAGTGATATCTCCAGCTCAAGTGTATATAAATATAGACTAAATGATGCATTTTACAACTTGTATTACTCAGACTTCAAGTATTGTGTAAAAGCTGTTTTTTATCCTCCCATTCAAGAACATAAGTGCTGTTCTTTATGTTGTTGAATAACGAATTGTAAAAATATTTGAAAATAGGTTGGTCCTTCTAAAATACAGATTTTTGAGTGTCTGGCAATTGAAGTATACCAACAATCCAGAGCACAAAACTTGAGTTTTGAGATCCAGCAGTATTGGGAAAGCCTACAGGTTTTAAACAAAACAAAACAAAACAAATTCTCTGAAACAGCAGGTGTGCATGATGAATCAACTATGTTGAGAGACACAACTTCAGCTTCATTATGCTGTGGCTGAAGAAGAAGATTGGAGTTGTGATATGTAGCCTGGAAATCCATGTATGTACCACTAGTGCTCAGTAACACTACACGTGGCCTTCCATAAAGATAACTAATCATGAAATCTAGTACTTGAAATCTAGTACTTTGAGTACTTTGTTCCTAAGTCCTACTTTTTTTCTTCTTCTTTTTGTGGAGCATAGTTAATCAATGTTTAGAAAATGTAGTGTTGATAGGGACCCTTAAGTCACCTGAACTAGAACTCTGTAGGCCTTTTATATAGAGTATGATGATTTTAAAATGTGATTTTGAAAACATGCCTGTTGTTAAGCTCTTGTTCCACATCTTGTGACATGGAGAAGAGGCACACAGAAATGTGCTCACCCAACCAGCCTTCCCTTTTAACCTTTGAGTACATACACGGGCATTAAGTTTGGGGTCCCTTTCATGTGTTGTGATGAAAAAGGAAGGAGTAATGGGTGTTCTCATTTTTCAAGAAAAAAAAAAAAAAAGGTTATCTGGAAGGGGTTTATCATGACAGTTGTATGGGGGAGGCATAATAAGTTATCAGACTTTTAAGTTAACTTTTGTCATTAGCTGCAAATACACAGTTAATCGAATATTCCTTACCAAATTGTAAACATGATAAATCAATAGCCTGAAAGCCCAGAATATATTTTCTGTTTCAATGATTCACCAGCTTAGTATAGAAACAAATAAAACAAAAACAATCTGTGCTGTTAGGCTATGCACAAATATTTCCAATTCATTATTAACAAATGCCACAAAAGCTGGATCCTCATTCAGTTTAATATAGCTGGTTGAATGATCTGTGCTGTTGCAAAAGGTAACTTCAGTCTACTTTAGAGCACAAAGTTTATTCAGCAATGTAATACAGTAGCAGCTTTGCAGTGGCTGTAGCATTCCTTCAGCATGTGATTTTAAAAAAATAATCCTCTTAAATAATTAAGGTTCTTCTACAACATTGTCTCTTCAGTTTCAGAAGAGTCTTTGCTATAAGCCACATGTATTGTGTAGAATCAAAAAAATTAAAACTATTCAGCTGGCTGAGCAGTGAATCAGCTGGACATTATTTTGCATTTGTGATGAAAAATGTATGCTATTTATCCAATTTATAAAGAACTTACTAGGGAATATCAGTTACATTCTTGTTAGTGCATTCTTATCGAGGTACTGAGCACAGTACCACAATGGTGATGGATATTGATCAAGAACAGACCTCAGGGTTCTGCTTTCAGAGGTTATGAGATCAGGTGGTCTGTCTAGATTTACTATGTAGCCCACAAGAAGGATACTAGATTTAGCATTAGTGTGAAGTGACCAGATGAGAAGAAGAAACATAACAGTGGAATTACATTGGAGTTTGAAATTAGAAATAGCAGATATGCAGTGGATTTTACTTGTCCTTCAGTATCAAAGTGCAGGACCTATCAGGACACCATGTTTTATAGCAATATGACTACTGTCTTTAGTTGTTCTCTTTGTGTAGTTTTAGTCTTGCTGCTTTTAAGCTGGAAGTAGTCAGCATTGTTTGTGTTCTTATTTATCAGTTAAAACAAAGGAACATTGCCTGGAAATTAATCTCAAGCACTGGGAAGAATAAAGTGACTGTGATTTTGTAGAATTCTAGTCATTCTCCTAGAAGAGAAGTTTGACAAGGAGAAGATGAATGGAAGATCACTCCCATAATCTCAGGTTCACTAGAATTTCTCTGCATACCATCCAGTCTCTTTTTACCCTGAAATCACTTAGTTCCCAGAAGAGCTGAGAATAGCAGGAAATACTTAGGCATCTAGACAGCACCATTACTAAGAACCAAAATCATAACAAGGAAAGCCAATAATTATTTTAAGGCTAGATAGACAGTTCTGCAGATACAATCATGTTTTCGATGGGGCTTGTTTTGTACAATATCTACCATCACTAAGATTCTTTTCTTTGGTTATTTGTGTAAATTTTCTGCAGTTATCTATGTAGATTAAAAATAAGATTAGTTCAGTCTGTTCATTGTGGATGCCACAGTTTGGTAATCCATAGCTAGAGCAAGCCCGTATAAGTGTTAGACCCCTTTTAAAATAAAACTTCAAAATGAAGGGAGCTTGTCATGGCAGATTACTGTCATGAATGGTAAAGAATATAACAGCACCTGCTGAATCATGTTCAAACAATAAGGTACAACACCAGTATAGGCCTTTGTGTGTCATTACCATTTATCCATTGTCTTCCTCTACATGATGGCAGAACTCTGGGGAGAGTTTTAGTAGCTTTCACCTTTGGTTTAACCATTCATAGTTAAAAGGATTATTTTGACAGCAGACATTATTTCTACCAGAAATTCAATAGTTACATATAGTTACTATATGCAATGGCAGTATCTAAATACTATTTTTTAATCATAGCCTATGCAGAAACTTAAACACATTCTGTATTGATTTTTCTAGTTATATATAAAGTCGATATTGCTTTTCCACATTAAAAATTCTAGGCATACAAATATTTAATGTTATGGAGATGTGAGACTGTTAGACCTGTACAATACATAGTTTTAATGGCTTTATTCATAGCCTTCTCTGTGACTACAAAGTATATTCTTGTTTACCAGCTGGCATCAATCATTGCTGGATTTCTCTTGGGATTAACAAATGGATTTAAAAACACAAAGTGGGAGCAGGGAATGGGCTTTGTATTCATGCATTTTTCATTCACATAAAACACCATGCTCTAACATTTAGCCTGAAATGTTGTTCAAAATATTTTACACTCTGTTTACCTTCACTAAAAGCTGAACACATATTTTAACAGGTTAGAGTTAGAGACAATGTTTCTGTAAGGATACAGACAACTATAATTTTATTTTTTGGAAGCATGTGATAATTTCATTCCTAGTAAATGTCCTCTGGAAAGTTTATCCTGATTCTTAATGTATGAAACAGTGGCATGTACAAATCTTTTTTATGAATATATTCCATGTCCTCTGAAAATTGTGTGCAATTTTGTGGGATTAGGAGGAATGCACATAATATACTATAGTCTTGTGTAAGCACACTGTGAAAAGAATAAGAACCATAAGAACTAAATCTTGTAGTAGTAAGCTCCAGCAAAATACTGAACTGCTTATGAAAAAAGCAGAAGACACACAAACAAGCAGAGACTGCCTTAGATGGTACAAAATATACCTGGTCTTCCTGGCAGGTATGCCCTGGCGATTCCCTGTATTTTTTTCCTTAAGCTATATTGTTGAATTTCTCATTTCTGGGTTGCCATGAATGAAATTATTAAACAAAATAATTTGAAAAAGGGTTTTTACTTACTTTAGGACTACCTTTAATTGTTGCTGTATTGATTTGGTGCTCCTTTAGTTTAGAAGTCATAACCTCAGTAGAAAATGCAGACATACAACACTATTAACTCTTACAATCATACAGTGATGCAATAAGGTTTATATTTAAAGAAAAAAGAAGCCAATAACCCCACACTGGAACTGAACTACAAAACTTGGCTTTAAGTTGTGTGTATATTGTTCATCAGTAGAACCTTCTAATGCTGGCTTTCTATTCCACTCTTTTTGTACAGTTCTTTTGACAGCAAATTTGTCTATCAGCAAAGAGGACTTGGACCCATTGAACAGAACACAATTATTGTCTTGAATCCAAGTAATGCAAAACTGCTTCATTCCACAGGCAAAAATATGTAAGTTGAGTTTTTTCTCATACTAATTGAACTAATATTTCATATATTTTATACCAAAGAGTCCCTAAACTCATTTTTGTGTGTTTTATATTCTGTTTCTGCATTTATATACAATTGTGTAATTGTAGCCTGAGTATCTTCAAGTAAATAAATAATTATTTAGATGAACTGAATTTCATAACCGAGACACTATTGTCAAGAAAATTCCAAGCTGTAAAGCTGTATTTTTCATTAAATGCTATATGTAGTTAGTACGTACCACGCTTGTTTTTGATCTGTCGATAAAAAATGAAATCTTCGCATCTCTATCATTCTCCAGAAAAATGATTTTAACTTCATTCTCCTACATTTGTGATTGCAGGTTTTATTTACCACATGGTTTGAGTGTAGATAAAAATGGTAACTACTGGGTCACTGATGTAGCTCTTCATCAGGTATGTTTCTGAAGTTTTAGTATCAGGACCATTAAATCTTGCTAAAAAAATATTTTTATTTTCCTAGAGATTTGACATACATTGCTTATCTAGGTCTGTTTGGAATAACATTAAGAATGTGCCTACAGAAATTCACCCCTGTGCACTTCATGGAATATAGTTGTGTTGAATAATTTGCTACAAGGATATAGCTTGTAGAAATAATAGTATCATAGACTCCAACCGTGGAATCATGGTCTCAGTTGGAAGGGACCTTAAAGATTATCTCATTCCAGCTGCTCTGCCGTGGGCAGGGACACTTTCCACTAGGCCAGGTTGCTCAGAGCTCCATCCAGTGTGGCCTGGAACACTTTCAGAGGTGGGCAGCCTCACCAGTGGCATCCCCAACCTTGTGGTAAAGAGTTTCCTCCTAATATCTAATCTAATCTAAACCTACTCCCTGTCTGAAGTCATTCCACTTGAATGGGGAATTCTATTACTATGTGCATCTGTAAAAAGTTCATTTCTGTCTTTCTTGTGAGCTCCCTTCAGTAACTGGGAGGCCACAATTAGGTCACCCAAAAGCCTTTTTTTTTAAATGCGGGACAGTCCCAGTTCTCTCAACCTTTCCTCATAGTAGAGGTGCTCTATCCCTCTGATCACCTTGGTGTGCCTCCTCTGGACTCTCTCCAACATCTCCATGTCCATGCTGTGCTGGGAGCCCAGGGCTGGAGGCAGCTCTGCAGGTGGGGTCTCACCAGAGCGGGGCAGAGGGGCAGAATCCCCTCCCTCCCCTGCTGCCCACGGGGCTTTGGATGCAGCCCAGGACATGGTCAACCTTGGGCTGTGAGCACACATTACCAGCTCATGTTGAACTTCTCATCAACCAACACATTCTCCTCAGGGCTGGTCTCAATGTCTTCTCCTCCCAGCCTATATTTGTGCTTGGGATTGCCCCAACCCAGGTGCAAGACCTTGCACTTGGCCTTGTTGAATTTCACAAGGTTCTCATGGAGACATCCTTTCAAGATCCGTCTAATTTTCTGCTGTGTCTTTTGCTTACCAGTGCAGTTAAGTCTAGAAAGTGAAAGTAAATTGTTTGCTTTGTAATGACAGGAAATTTGTATTTTAAGCAGAAGTTTCCTAGAATCAGGGCTATTGAATAACTAATAATAAATATTATGGTCAATATATTAAGATTATATTTGGTATGTAAATTTATTTTATACACAGTGATAGGAGTTTTTTCCCTAGGCCACCTAGGTCTTAGTTTTCACCTTCAATAACTGAAACCTCTTTCCTTTTCCTTTTGACTGAAAAAAAGGTTTTCAAACTAGGAGCCAATGACAAAGAGCCATTACTGATCTTAGGAGTACCTTTGCAACCAGGCAGTGACAAAAATCATTTCTGTCAACCAACTGATGTGGCCGTGGACCCAGTCACTGGCAGCATTTACATCTCTGATGGCTACTGCAACAGTCGGATTATTCAGTTCTCTCCAAATGGACTGTATGTGATGCAGTGGGGAGAAGGTACAGTCAGGACTCTAGGTCCTTTACCCATACTGCTGTTACCATGAGCTCATCCTGAACCCCTAAATTGCTGATGTTGCTATTAATCTCAACCTTTCCTCATAGTAGAGGTGCTCTATCCCTCTGATCACCTTGGTGTGCCTCCTCTGGACTCTCTCCAACATCTCCATGTCCATGCTGTGCTGGGAGCCCAGGGCTGGAGGCAGCTCTGCAGGTGGGGTCTCACCAGAGCGGGGCAGAGGGGCAGAATCCCCTCCCTCCCCTGCTGCCCACGGGGCTTTGGATGCAGCCCAGGACATGGTCAACCTTGGGCTGTGAGCACACATTACCAGCTCATGTTGAACTTCTCATCAACCAACACATTCTCCTCAGGGCTGGTCTCAATGTCTTCTCCTCCCAGCCTATATTTGTGCTTGGGATTGCCCCAACCCAGGTGCAAGACCTTGCACTTGGCCTTGTTGAATTTCACAAGGTTCTCATGGAGACATCCTTTCAAGATCCGTCTAATTTTCTGCTGTGTCTTTTGCTTACCAGTGCAGTTAAGTCTAGAAAGTGAAAGTAAATTGTTTGCTTTGTAATGACAGGAAATTTGTATTTTAAGCAGAAGTTTCCTAGAATCAGGGCTATTGAATAACTAATAATAAATATTATGGTCAATATATTAAGATTATATTTGGTATGTAAATTTATTTTATACACAGTGATAGGAGTTTTTTCCCTAGGCCACCTAGGTCTTAGTTTTCACCTTCAATAACTGAAACCTCTTTCCTTTTCCTTTTGACTGAAAAAAAGGTTTTCAAACTAGGAGCCAATGACAAAGAGCCATTACTGATCTTAGGAGTACCTTTGCAACCAGGCAGTGACAAAAATCATTTCTGTCAACCAACTGATGTGGCCGTGGACCCAGTCACTGGCAGCATTTACATCTCTGATGGCTACTGCAACAGTCGGATTATTCAGTTCTCTCCAAATGGACTGTATGTGATGCAGTGGGGAGAAGGTACAGTCAGGGCTCTTGGTACTTTACCCATACTGCTGTTACCATGAGCTCATCATGAACCACTAAATTGCTGATGTTGCTATTAATTTTTTTTAATTAATTTCTATAACTGAAATACCTTCCAGGCCCTACATGAATTTCAGCCTTGTCCTTGCATCCAAATTTTCTCTTGACTTTTTCTACAGCTACTTGTAGTGGTTACATATTTACTAAGAATAAAAAGTGGGGGTTTGTTGTCTTGCTTTCAGAATAAATATTGTCATGTTCTGTTTGTCTAGAAAATATTCTGACTTTCATAAAGCCAAATGTTTTTCTTAAACATACAAGAAAGGAATAATTTTTTGCCAGATTTATACTGTGATTTCATCTATTTTAAGTTTCATTAATAATTATAATTCTGCTTGACTCAGATTTATGTATCTCTGTAACTATGCTGAATATGCTCAGGAAACTGAAAATTCTAAATTTGGGATTTATAAAGAAAACAAAGTAGGCTAATGTGAGTTATCTACCTAAATGCTAGAAAGAAAGCAAGCTGACCTTAGTCTTTTCTCAGGGTTACATTGCACTATGTGGCATACTGCTGTTTCTAAGTGAAACTGATAGTTTCAGTGTGTACTTTAACACAAACTTGGGGCTTTTTTTTTAATTGCAGAGACTTCTCTAGGCAGATCCAGACCTGGGCAGTTTTATATCCCTCACAGCTTAGCCCTGGTCCCTGACTTAAGTCAGCTGTGCGTTGCAGACAGAGAAAATGGTCGAATTCAATGCTTTAGGCTGGAGACTGGGGAGTTCACAAAAGAGATCAAGCACAAAGCATTTGGAAGAGAGTTATTTGCAGTTTCATACTCTCCAGGTAATCCTTTTTCTTGTTCTTCGTATTTCAAGTAGTTGCTTTGTGCCAGGATGTCAGTGTTATTTCCTGAAGTGCTATTGTGTTATCTTGGGATGAATATTAATTATCTTCTAGAGTAGTCCTGATGCAATAGAAAATTTGAGAACTACCTGTTTTCCTGCTTGTGGATGAGGGAAGCTTGCATCTAATCTCTATTTCTAAAAAATTACTGATTACTCCCTAAATGTAATATCAACAAGTAGACGATCTTGCTGCTTCCTGGTGACTGCACAGTTAGTCAGTAAATAATTAATTATTATTCATAATAACATTTCTAAATATTCATTTTGAACTCCATTGAAGAGAGCAAAATTAAGACCAAATGAACAACCAGGGTTTTTGGTTTCATGAAACCAGAGAACTGAAAACAAGCTAAAAACATTGTGGTTTTTAATATCACAATCTGGTTAACAATTACTATATTTAGTTTTTGGATTAGATTTTAAATACCGATTCTGAAGGTGAGGTAAATGTTAAGAACTGAATGAGGAATTTTGGCATGTTGGGCTCCTGACTCCTTAATACCAAATTTAATATCATGTTTCTCTCTTTTGCATCTGCAAGAATGTAAAAAAATGCTGTGCTGGATGAGAGGCTTGATATCTATGTGTCTCTGACAGCAGAAAGAGGCATTCTGAGAGTGTGTGTAAGCTTGGATGCATTTTGTAGTCATTCCTCTCCTATTCACCATGCATCCACAAACCCTTTATTTAGCAGTTTTAGGAGGTAACCTCTGATCTGTTCTTCACAGTGTCTTTCTACAGACATATTGCCCATAAGTTCTAATCCCATTACAAACTGACTTGTATTGTCTGGTTCATTGGCCTTCCACCATTGCAGGCTCTGGAAGTTCATTCTCTACTTTATTTATTTATTTTTAATATAAAAAGTGACCTAGTTTCATTGAGTGCTATTCAGTCTTAGAATTTTGGGAGCTGAATAACAGTTCCACACTCCCCCTATCTGGTGCCCCTTCATCTTGCATTATCCTCTTCAAACCAAAGAACCCCAGCCACCTTAGCCTCTCCCCATAAGCTATTTAATTGCTTCAGCCCCTTGAGTATTGTATTTGCCTTTCTCTTCCAGCATCTTTAGCTTCATTGGAACCTTTTTGAGATGCAGAAAGTAAAAGAGCACTCAGTATGTGTGCATGCTAAGTTTAGTGTAGAACTGTCCCCTCCATTCCTAATTCTTCTCCTCATGATGCCAGACATTCTACTGAAATTTTGTCTGACACTGTACATGGAGGTGGAGATTTCAGGAATCTTTTAGGGATGGCTTGGAGATATCTCTCCTGAGCTGTAGCTGCCAGTTCCAAGTTCAAACATCACATAGGCATGATCTAGATTTTTTTTTTTGGAAGAAACATCACTTTACATTTGTCTTTGCAGAAGCAGTCCTGCCATCTGTTTAACAACTTACTTGTATAAAAAGTCTTTCTGGACTTCCTTAGTATCATGGAACTTTTGACTTGTCCACAGAACTCAGTTTTCTTCCTCAGACTGCTAGGTGTTCTTGTTTGCCCCATTTTTCAGTCATTGATGAAAACTGTGAATAAAATTTCTGACTCTGATCACTTCAACATCAGACTATTCAGAGTTCTGTGTCCTGAAGAATTACAAACTCTGCCTATAAGCTTAGCTCTTTGCTTCTTGTTCATTAGTGGGTCTTTTGTTCAGCCCTTTGATATTCAATATCCACATTCAATAACCTCTAAGGCACTACCTTGTCAAGGGTTTTCTGAAAGCACAAATATGTCCATAGAATCTGCTTACCTGTGTGCTTTTTCTCCCTGTTCAGAGCTGAGGCACAGCCCTTAGAGAAGCCACACCAACTTGTTCTGACGGGCTACACTTGCCCATGTCTCAGTCTTCATTATGGATTCTACCATCTCGCTGGAGATGGATACCAGAATTGGTAATGTGTCTTTGCAGACACCCTTTTGTAGGTGGGCGCTACTTCAGCATCCTGCTAGTCTTCTGGACAAGTGGCTGTCTGCAGTGCTGGGTTACTTAATTTGGCCTGAAGTCTGATTTCACATTTGGTTTCCTTCTGAAATTTGAGTGAATGCCATCTAAACCTCATAAACTAATAACCTCCAACTTGTCTTATAACTTGTGCTTCCCGTTGAGCTGTCTCCTCTGATCTCTTTACTAAGAAAAAAAAATTGAGTGTTAGAAACTTCCCAACATATTAAACAGAAAAAACTGACAAAACCCATTCCTTTGCCATAGGCCTGTAATCCCCCCTCTAATTCACATATTTTCTTTTTGTGGTCCCACTTACTCCCCAGCTGACTTTCTTCTTTTGATGCATTGAAAGAAATTTCTATCAGGTCAACCATCCGTAGCACAGCATTCTTGAGATTATTTTTCTAACACCTTCACATTCCTTTTACATTTAAACTGTATATAAAATATTGTCTTGCTGGTTCTTCATATTTGAACTAAGTGTGCATCTCTTAAATGACGAAGTTTCAGTGAGTTATACCTTGCTTAACTTTCCTCTTGTAGTTTAGCTTCTTGTTGAGTTATCTTCTGTCTCTCTGTCTTTTAGACAGCCTTTTTTCATCTAAACTATTATAGTTTCATCTTCACTGCAATTTGCTATATGTGGGTTCTTAAGGCAAATCTAATGTTGTTGCAGGTGGTCTCCTCTTTGCAATTAATGGAATGCCCTATCCTGGAGAGGCAGAATCAGTGCAAGGATTTGTGATGAACTTCTCTACTGGAGAAATAATTGATACTTTCATTCCACTTAGAGAGGTAGAGTATTGCACAGTGTGCCTGTTACATATAATTATATATATGAGAACATCAGTAACATTCTACTTTTCCAACTTCCATAAGAAGTTGGAAAATTGTTTATTGCTGGAAATAAGACATTTTATAATGTAAGGTGTTCAAAAGGAATTCTTTATAGTACTAAATAAAAACACTAGAATTATGGATATTAGCTTCTACATGTGGTACATATTTGAAAATTATACTAACTTCTAGATGATTCCTACAGATAATTTATTCAGGCAGGATAAGCCCACTTTGTTACTGCCATTACAGTTCTTAACAGTGAATTTAATACAATAATGAAGTAATTGAAAGATTCATGTATTTAGATGCTAGTAGCTTGTCAAAAAATAGAGCTTATTCCTAAACAGAAATAATATGCAACTGTATGATTATATCCCTCTTTACAGAATAGTAGTAAGTTAAGGCTAAATGTTCTTCATGCAGTATAGTACATTAAAATTTTGGGGTTTTTTAACAGTTTCTATGTATTGTCTTAGATTAAAGAATGAATGTTAATATTCCCACTTCTTGCAGCCACATAACACTCTTTATTTGCAGTCCAACTTTAAATTATATTGAGAGTTATTTTTTCTGAGTATAGCAAATAGCTGTTTTGCATATGAACTTTAACAAAAATTAAATGTGCGGGCTTCAAACCAAGATTATTTTTGACAATATGTATTACAGTGGATAAAGTGGAATGTAATAAAATTAATAGAAATAATATTAATATAATTTTTTAGCATTAATATATGGAATAATCTCTATGTTGTTATCCCTGGAGGAGGCAAACATTCAATAGAAATGGAATTCCTTTCCTTTCACACATTTGGGTTTCACACCAGCACCTGCTGCATTTTCCAGTCTAAAGCAGGATTGAATATGACCAGGCTCAAGTTAGGTGTTAAGGAGGCCTCGTGAAAGCATAGACACTTAGGGGTAATCTGTGACTGCTTATCTTCATAGAGCTTTGAGATGCCACATGATATTGTTGCTTCAGAAGACAGAACAGTATTTGTTGGAGATGTTCATGCCAAAGCAGTGTGGAAGTTTGCATCTGTGGAAAGTATGTTTTTTTTTTTGTTCTTAATGTCCTAACTTCACATTTTGTACCTTCAGGTCAGTATCACTTATCTGGTACCCCTGGCCAAGAGCCTAGTGGCATAATGAGTGATTTAAGCGCACTACAGGCTTCACCTGCAGCAGTTGTGTGCTGCTGCTCAGTTTTCATTAAAAGACTGTTCTTCAGCATTGTTGTGTGCTCTATCAAAGAAGAGTCCTGGGCACATGAGTTTGTCACAGAAGGAATCAACATGCATTTGCCTTACACATCCATTTTCAGTACTTGCTTAAACAAAAGTGTTACTCCAGTATTTTAGTAATTTCAGTGTATCATTTGCTGAGAACTCAACTGCTTCCTGTGAGGTTATCATGAAGAAAACTCCCAAGGTATGAAATAAAAACACAGGTCAACTTAAAAATTTTATTCATTTCATTGGGAGCATTCATCACTAGAAAATTAATCTAGTATAATTTGAAGTCCTATTTTCATACAGAGGAAACACTTGCCAGTTTTAATCTAGTAACCCCCAAGGCAAGCAGCCTCAGTTCAGGGAGAGGAACCTGATTAGTCAGACTTCAGTTTAGTAGGATTCAGAGAGAGGTTACATGTTTTACAGCAATAAAAGTATAATCCATTGCTCCATTATATGGGATAAAAAATGTATGACAGACATAAAGTCTAGCTTCAGGATGTTAGTCATCCAGTAAGAGTCCGCTGCTATAAATGACTAAGCTAGTTATTCCTTATTTGTCTTGTTTATAATTAATAGATTTTCCTTTGGGGCATTTGGTATCAGCTGCTGTTAATAACAGGAGACTGGATCAGATAAATTGTAATTCATATTGGATATGTTTTTATCTGCATCTAGTAAACTGAACATGAACAATTCTCAGCTTTTATTCAAAGAAACATGAGAATAAAAAAGTAAAGGAATTTTTGCAGGTTAGATGAGGGAAGTCCTTGTATAAAATTTTCTTTTTAGTTTTTGCTGAAGTATAAAAGAGCAGTAGCTAAGAAACTCTGATTCAACCAGCCTTTAATTCACTATGATTTTGATTATAATAAACAGTTTTATTTTTGCAGGAATCTATGAACCTTTAGGCATACACATAAAATCTTTCTGTTTCATAAAAGCTGGTTATTGCAAGCAACTTCCATAGACTGAGCTCTTCCTTTTTTTCCTCTGGCCTTGTGAGCTACTGAATAGTTTATATTGACTCTCTGTGATGAAATTCACACGTTGATGGGAATGTTTACTGTAGGATTGTATTGTACTTTTGAGAAAGCTAGCAGGAAGATGTCACTGAGTGTCTTTCTGAAATATCAGTTGTCCTGAAGAATGATTTTGTTTTACAGAAATGGAGCATCGGTCAGTTAAAAAGGCTGGTATTGAGGTACAGGAGACAAAAGGTTAGTTTGATTGATAATGAAAATGAAGGGATCAGTATGTTCACGTAGACCAGGGCTGCTTCTGCCAAACTGAAGGGACAAAATACTGACTAGTTTGACCTGTTTTTTGTGAGTTCCTATCGGAAGCACTAGAAGGAAGCTTGGAACACTGTTACTGGTAGATGCTATTTCACAGCCAGTCTAAACATTTCATTTCCAGTGATGACAAGTACTTCAGTGTCACAGAATAAAAATTTTAGTAGGTTAATTCCATTCTACCATCTGGTATGTTCCAATTTGTTATCTGTGGCAGCTCCCTTAGATGCAGAAATAGCTCTAAAATACAGCAGCAACAGTTACTCCCCAACACCCTCCCCCTGCTACAACTCTCCACCACCAAAAAAGGGTTCTTTGAAATGACAATTGGTTTATATTCCTGTGTAGTCTTTTAGTACACAGCCTTGTCAGTCACACCATATGGCAAGAAATACTCTTTTTTCTATTTACATTTCTTCCCATAGATTTACTAGACTTTTTATTTATTTAATCTTCATGAAAATGAAAAAAAAAGGAAAGAGAAAATGAAAGCATATAGGAACAATATAAGGAGACAGTACACACAGAGTAGATTCAAAGGAGTAAAATACCGATTAAAAGATGAAAAGACATTTTAACCATTTGTATTCTATTATGTAGCTCATTTCTCTTTCAGATAAACAGTACCACATTATTGTACTCTTTATAAAGGCATTTAAAATGTTCAAATGTTCTTAACTGGTTTTCTTTGCTTAAATTCAGAGCTTATGTAGTTTGCTTCAGCCATATATACACAGACAGAGAAAAGTCAAAAAAATCCCAACTGCCAATTGAAAGAATAAGGAAGGCTAATGAAACAATGAAATGCTTACTGCCATTACTGTTATCCTTTTATTTTATCTCCATTGGTACACCAGCCTGCCTGAAGCACTCAAAAGGGAAGTGTTGACATTACAGCATGATGTATATCCAGGGATATGTAAATGCCTTTTGGTTTTCTTTAGCTGACACTTCTAATGTCATAGAGAAAAAATGCAATAGTAACACCAGGGTAAGAACAAGGTTTTAAGTAACAATGTCTAAAACTGTTTAGAGTAGGTAGGCTGAAATTAACATCTTTCAGCTCCACTGGGAGAAAAGAGTCAGTGGATTTTGTGTCATCTGCTTAATAAATGGAGAGGAGTAGCCTGCACTCTCACAACCTCCTGGTGACTGTTACTATCGCTTGTACTCCTGTGACATGGGGGAAAACATATGAAGAACTGTAACTTTGCCCAGAAAGATGATGGAGGAAAATCTTCCTTAGCAGTAACTACTTCTTGAACAGATAGCATGTTTTCATCGTGTCATTGTTATCCTTGTACTTGTGATAACAATGATATTATTTATCATTGTATTAGGGCTGAGCATAAACTGAACCATTTGCTATTCCTTCAGAGTAGAAGATCATTTTAATTTTGAATGAGTATCAAAACAGTGTTGATTTAAAGTGTTTGTGATGCAGCTACTTGTTAAGACATGCTGTTCAGTCTAAATTCAAAATACATAGCTAGACAGTTTTACTTACTACAAGGTAATCACAAAGCATTTGCAACATCATAGAGGTTTTTCTTAAATAGTTTTTCTCCTTGTGGGTATAGAGTTAACAAAATAGTCAGCAATGACTGAATGCAGTTTTCAAAAGCTCTGCAGATTTGTAGAACCAAAATTCCTTATGGAATGTAACAGTTCTGAAATTTTAACCCTTTGCCACAGTTTTATTAGAGAGATCTTTAAACTTTTTCTTTGTGTTTATGATAATATGATGTATACTGGCTTTCTGTATTTCTTGTGGAAATGTTTTTGTCAAAAGGAGATGTTTAATTGGTGTTACACCACACAGTTATTTGCAAAAATGGATCATTGGGGTAATTTCCTATATTTTAAATAGTAGATACTTTTTAGGACAAAACTGTTTGTCCCATCTCCTTTCCTCGTTTGAGAAAAGGGGAGGGAATCTTTGTTAGTGAGTGATATCATTCAGACTTGTTCTTCCTTTTATTTGGGATAATGTCAGTAAAAGCCAAAAATTGCTCCGTAAGAGTTTGTCTTTTTTTTCCTTGTTACAAAGCACTTAAGGTATCCTAGCTTGTTGTTTCCTGTAGCATTCTGTTCTGCAACAGCTGTTCAAGCAACAGCTTGATGCATATGGCTTACATATGGAAATTGTTTTCTTTTTAAAGAATCAGAAACAATTGTTGAAGCCAGATTGAAAAACAAGCCAGAATCAAGAGACCCTCTAAAGAATATGGATAAACAACACTTGGTCCAACAGGCCAGCAGCACTGGAGTTTCCTTTGTTCTTATTACAACTCTTCTTATTATCCCTGTTGTTGTCCTGCTGGTAATTTTAGTATTTATTCGGTGGAGGAAGACAACTGTCTATGGAGGTAACTGTTCTAGAGAACAGGCTTTTATTATTCCAGTTCCAAATATCACTGAACACTGGGGATTGAGGGTATGAAGAGAGCAGCTCCCTGTGCCTTTGCCATCCTGAACAGTTGCAGTGGTGCTGCATGCAAACTTACAGCTTGGCAGGTACACAGCACCTGCAGCCCCCTGAGCCTTTAAGCCAGCCTCAAGTTAGCACCTCTTCAGAACATGTATCAAAAACTTTAACTGGTGTCAAGGCAAAAACTGGTATCTCAGAAATTACTAGAATAAATTCATGTTGTATTGTGTAGAATTCAGAAATTTTAATACTGCAAGCATAGTTTGATTTTTTAGTATGGAATCTTTAAACTGCTGAGAACAAAAGACTCCATCCATATGGGTATTACAGAGATACGGGCAAAACGAAAGCAGATACCATTACAAGAGATTTTGTATTATTGCTCTCTCCTACCTAATCAATCCTGTGAGTCAGACATGCTTCCATAGTGCACCTTAATCCATAGCTCTGAAAGCTTTAATTTGTACTTAGAAGTTATGTAAATGGTTCTAAATTTGTATTGTATAATAACATTATTTTTCATAAATTGGCAGACTGCGATAGACATTTGATCACTAGACTTGTTATTTTGTATCACGAAATTGTTTTATCAAGATACTTTCATCGGGGAAGAAAATGTACACAACACAGTTCTGCCACTGGTCAGGACTTAGTGTGACAGAGTAGGCCATTCAGCAATCTAATATGGCTATGCAACTGAATTGGATGTATTTTATTTCAAGATATTAGCATACGGCTTCCTGACTTTTGTATTCAAATGTGTTAGCATACCACATGTGCTACATAGCATATCAAATATGCTACAACTCTAGTCTATTGCCGTGCTGCCATAAATGGCTTCTTAGAGCTGCTGATTAATTTGTTGAATGTCTGTGATTTTTATCAGAAAATACAGGTACTTATTTGATCACAGAACACTCAGGGTTTAGTTTATTTTTGAAATTTACTTTATTTTTCAGCTGATGGGGAATGCAAACTTGATTCTACTGCAGGCAGAATTTTAGGCAGACTTAGAGGTAAGTAGTCACTGAAGATATTTTCAAATGCAGTAACTGGAGGCTTTTTTTCTCTATTCATGTAGACTAACAGATTTGATGGAACTTTCTCAAAGGAAGGACTGGGGGCAAAGATCAGGGGTTTTTGAAAATTTCTTTTACAACAACTTTTATCTGTCATTATCTGCCCACTAAATAGAATGAGTCACTACCAGTGGGAGAGCAGGAGCTGAAATGAGTTACTGCAGATCTGGTGAATGAAATGAAGCACTTTGAAACTAAGGGCAAATGGGTAGGAATGCCAATAACCTGTGTAGAATTAATGAAATAATGGATGCCAAAAAAGCATAGTCCGAAACTTCTAAGATTAATGGCCTTCTTCTTTCCTATTATATATACCTAGCTTTTGTGACTCATGTGATGAACCTTTAAAAACAGTTTCTGGAAGGACACTTAAAAGAATCACCACTATACTGTTTAATGAGTAGATAGATTTTTATTTTCCCCCTTACAGTTAAAGCAAACCTTATGAAAATCCTTTCCTTTCCATAGGGAAAGGTGGTGGTGGAATTAACCTTGGGAACTTCTTTGCAAGCCAGAAAGGCTACAGCCGAAAAGGGTTTGACCGGCTGAGCACTGAAGGAAGTGATCAAGAAAAAGATGAAGATGATGGCACTGATTCCGAGGAAGAGTGTTCAGCATCTCCACTGCCACCAGCACCTTCATCATCCTGAAACTAACCTTTGAGTTCTCCATTATACGGTTCAACCCAGAATGTCAGATTTCTTTTCCCTTAAGCACGTTTAAGATCTTGTATATTTAATTGTAAACTGTTCTAGTCTGTGTGGGGCTGTACACTGGTTCCTTTATTTTTTGTTCGGTTTTAGTTACGTTTTTTAAGTGAAGGAGTATATTGAAATTCCATAGCAGTGCCGTTGGTTTTTATGTGAACATCTTAATAAAGCAAAGTCTTCTAACTGCCAGACTGATTTAAAGCAGTAGTATTTTATCATCAAATATGGGGATCTTGTAAATAAGTCTTACTATCTGCTTCATCAAATATTTTTTCCATAATTATTGAGTTGCCAATTTCTGTTTTGTGCCTTTCCTCTTCAATGTCCTTAACCTGTTGCATTACAGAGAATATACAGTGCCACAAAAAAATGAAGCTGCTAAGTCTTCTTCTATTTTTTTAAATCACTAACATGATATTGCATTGAAGGAAAGAAAAAAGTCTCTATTTAATTTTTTTCTTCTTCCTAACTTGATGTGTTTCTGGAATGTCTTATTTTTAGATGGTATCACTGTTAGAACACTATTTTCAGAAGCTGAATGTAATTTGTGTAATAAAGTATTCGCAGAGCATTGGCTGTTGGAGTGTACTTTGGAATTTTTGCTTGCATTGTTTTGTATATGACTTTTGTAAAAGTTACAGGGGGCACTTAACACAGTAAAAAGTTTAATGTGTTCTACCAGCAGATTAAAAAAATGATATTTTGTATGGAAGCTGGAAAAATATTTTGTTATGTCATGAGGTTGTTTGTTTGGGTTTTTTTTTAAAACTGATAACCTCCATACACGTACAAAGTCAAACTTGAACATCTAAAGAGGGATTTTACTTGTATAATAAAACTGCAAGGTATTTCCTTAATAAAACACATGGTCACAGCTAAGAGGAAACCTGTGTCTCAAATTAAATATGCAAATTAGTCAGGGTAGGCATCTAATACTACCTGATTGCAAGCACTGATTTTCTTTTTTTCTCCACACTTTATTTTTCATTCATTCAACAGGAACCCTCAGTCCTGTAATGAGTTCTCTCATTTAACAGCAGACTTACAGAAGTCCTGCTGGATAATTACCCTCTCTGTATGAGTCATCTAAAGTGTGAATCATTGTGTAACATCATTATGACTAATCAGTCCAGTTTGAGGATCAGAGCATAATTAATGTTCTTTTAAAACTGCTGTTATGAGCAGAGTGTACACAGGGTAATTGCCACAGGGTTTTATGAAACAGTTTTCATTGTCGTCATTGCAGGTGTTGTAATAGGCTACTGCTGGCATGGAGATTGGAAAATAGGATTTAAGCTCCTTGTGGTGGTTTTGCAAGGTCTATGGGGGAATAAAGGTAATGATAGTGGAGAAAAAGTTGAGGTTTTTTCCCCCAGCAAGATTTTATAAATCCTGTTTTTCTGGAAAAAAAACAAAAAAACCAAAACCAAAATCCCAAACTTAAAATGCATTACAAGCTGGTTTCTTTGCTAACTTACAGCAAAATCTCTAGGATAGCCATCTGAAGTGCTGGAGTACAGGCACAGTTTCATGTGAAATGTATTTAGTGCATACTCTTACGTTGCGTCCTCTCCTGCAAATTTTTGTTTTCCTAATGCTACAAGGAAAACAGTGTGTTTCTTTCTCACCTTTGAAAGCAAGGCAGTATTATTTTTCTCAGTGGCCTTGATCCTCGTATGTATGAATAAAAATTAATTAGTTGGGAAGAATCCTCTGAAGCTGTCTGCAAAAATGCTCAGTCACTAGTTTACAGGAAGTTTCCAGTGACAGCATTTAAGAAAGCTGTGGTGACACTGGTGTCATAGGTGGCATATATCTATCAGTTCTAAAAGATCACAGGGTTTTCTCAAAAGCACTCAATAAGGGTATATTTTTCTAACATTTGGTTAGCTCACCTTATGTCCAAGTGATGTTGGGTGTTCTCTTCATCCATTACCAGAGCTCAGTGGAATATGCAGCTTCCCTCTTTGTCCTTTCCTTTATTTGAGCTGTATCTCCAATTCTAGATAATGCTTTGTTGAGAGGGAATCAGCCAAACAGTTTAATTGCAAGTACAGGCTAAAATAGATTAACTGAGCTTTAATCATAATCTCAGCTCTCTGGAATTCAGATATTGGTCTCTACAATAATCCTGGGCTCCTAAGGAGAAGCAGGATGAGGGAGGAGATTCTACTCTGATCTGGTGAGACCCCACCTACAGTGTTGCATCCAGCCCTGGGGTCCCCAGAATAAGGAGGATGTGGACCTGTTGGAGTTGGGTCCAGAGAGGGTCACAAGGATAGTCAGAGGGCTGAAGAACTCTCTTGGAGTTTTTCAGTCTGGACAAGAGAAGGCTCCCCAGAGATCTCATTTTAGCCTTTGAGTGTTTCAAGTGGGTTTATAAGAAAGACAGAACCTTTTTACCTAGTGATAGGACAAGGAGGCAATGGTTTTAAACTGAGAGAGGGAGATTTAGATTGGATATTAGAGAGAAATTCTTTATTCTGAGCATGATGACGCAGGTTGCCCAGAGAAGCTGTAGATGCCTCATCCCTGGAAGTGTTCAAGACCAGGCTGGATGGGGCTCTGAGCAACCTGGTCCAGCAGGAAGTGTCCATGCCCATGGCAGAGGGGTTGGATTAGATGATCTTTAAGGTCACTTTCAATACAAGCTATTCTGTCATTTTTAATAACTGCACCAACAGGCCACCAACTACTTTCCAGCACCAATCAAATTTCAGCACCTCAGATTTCATGCTTCTAATTTTGTACAGGTGCAATGGCAGAGTTGGAACATCTGAACCTGCTTGAAGGCACTGAATGTTCTTTGTCTCTTATTAAAGCTGTATCTTATGGAAACAATGTACCATAGACTCCAAACTGCAATAGAAAAATTAATATAAAAAGGAAGATACAAGCTTTCTGAATCAGTTATCATTTTAATAAGCCATTTTAGTAAGACCATCCTCCATCCTAACAGGTTCTGTGTGCTAATATTACTTATTGTATTAATAGTTGAAATCTGCTTACTCAGTCTAAACTTTAGAGAGCATGTTTAAATTAGTTTTCAGTAGATGCTCCAGGTAAGATTATGCTTTAATGAAGAACATATAATTGCACATTTTTAAGATTTACAAGATGTGGTAACACTTTCCATGTGTTGTTGATTAATCTTTTCTTAAGCCTTTTTAAGAAGGAAGAATCTTGGCTATTGTAGGGGCTGAATATTTTCATTAAAAATAGACTGACCAAGTAGCTAAGCGCCTTTCTGTAGTATTAAGCATCTCCCTGTTTTAAATAGTCTGACCCATCGGAAGTCTTACAGGGTTATGGGAAGGTAGTTGTGATCCACTGGCAGGTGGTGTCAGGTAATTTTGGGTACCTTTTGTGAACCTGCGGTAAGTGAGGGCAGACTGGGGCAACAGCAAGATGCCATGAGGAGGATGCACTGACCTGTAACACACAGGTTGCCACCCACATCACCTGAAGGTGTCCCAATTAACTGAAATTAACTGCTCTATTACGCAGCTGTCCTTGCCACCAAGTATCATTAGGTGTAAATTGGTTCCTTGGGAAGCATCTTGATTAAGTAGATTTCTAATCAAGCAGTGCACTGTAGAGTTAATGAGGGTTTATAGATCATTGTGGTGAATTGCAAAAGCTCCTTCCTTGCCAAAGCTAGATTTATTTAAGGTTTACAGAGTATTAGGTCAGTAATGGCTGTCACAATACAGTGGATTAGGATTAAGCATGTGTCATGCTACAGAGAAGGGGCTTGGTGATTTTTAGGTTGCCATTCAAATACACATGTGAAAACTTGTTTGAAAGACTTTGTATGTATTAGCAGTAAAAGCTGTGGGGACTATCACTGCTGAGCAATTCAAGAGCAACTTTATTATTTAATTACTTAATTGCACATTAGGAAATCCTTTAAAATTTTAAAGACTATGTCATTATATAGTTCACAGTTTGTGTGGAATCTTGTTTTGTCCAGTAAAAAAATGCAAAAACAGAATCAAATATTCAAGTAAATTAAAAATAAGAGCTGAAATTAAGCCACTGTATATTCTATCTAAAACAGATGCTAGTGAACCCTACAGTTTTAGCACCCCTGATTTGCCTTTACCTGTTGGGTTTTTTTAATTCTTAAATGTGAAAATATTTTTATTTTTTATGTGAAATATCAAAATTTGTTAGTAGAATTTGCACTGTAACTGCTCTTTAGGCTCTTCTCCAGTAATGGGGAAAAAATTAGATTTGTCTGTATAGCTAAGCATTACTGGCAGAAAAAAAAGAGGGGAGCTGACAGTGTAGAGGAGAATTTAAGATCTCTAGTGATATCTATTATCCAAGAAAAACCTGCAAACTTCTTGCTGTTTCTGGACATGGTGGCTAAAAATCCTAAAAGAACATTCAGCTGGCATTGTTAGACACATATTTTGGAGAGAGACTGTGTGGTAGTCAATCTGGAGGCTGCACTAGATTTTTTCTAAATATTACAGGTCATGAAGGCAGTTTATTTTACTGTTTCTTCATCTCCATTCCACTCATATTTCTTATTAATGGGTTGCATGTGAAGCATGACATCCTGTGAGTGAAGCTCTGTCTGATTTCACTGTATAGCTTTTAGAAAATATACAGATGATGTATGGGCAGTACTCTTGTAGGGCACTGTGCCAAAGCACTGGTTTGAAGATGCAGTAATTTTTTTCTTTTTTCCTAGAAAATAGTCAGTGGTAACAGTTCAGCAAACTAGGGAAATTATTACAAACTATACTTCTTATTCTTCTAGGACATATGAGAAACCTAATTTTTCTACTCTTTTTAATTAGAATTGAGGATTTTTTTTTTTTTTTTTTTTCAGAATGGAGATTAGGCAACTGCCAAAGTGGCTAAATTTGGTGCTACGTGTTATTTAGGGTTTTATGGCAGAACCCTGCCCTGGCCACTGCAATCCTCATTGCTCTGAGTACCCTCTCCCCTCTGTTATTGCTTCGTTCAGCCATGACATATCCTAAAACAGCTGCCCAAGAGAAAATTGCTTTCAGGAAAAAACACTGAATTCCACAATTCTGCCATGTTTCCTTGGGTCGGCTCTCGGGTCACGCACACTGTGCCACACATAAGGAAGTGGAAGCATGGCGTTATTCCAGGCACTTGCATGGGAGATCCTGCTCACAGCAACTTAGGTGTAACGTGTAGAGGTGCTTGGGAGGTGTAAAGCTGTACTGAAAGTTTACCACAGTTGGTAGCTGTGGTATAAAACCACTCAAAGCATAAGTAGAGTATTTTTGTACTCCGGCTCACATGACAGGTCAGTCACGCATCCTTCACACAATGCGGGTCATGTTGCTCTCAGAAATGTACTCATGTTCCCGTAATTATCGATGTTAAAATTACCGAAAATTCTGCTGCGAACGTGCTTTCGGAAAGAAACCCTCGGAAGGGCAGGGCAGGCAGCAGTACCTGCGCGCCCTAAGCACCGCGTGGGCGGTGGCTCCGCGGATACAGGCTGCCACCTTCCGACAAATCCGGAACGTCTCTCGCTGGAGACGAACACACGAAAGCTAATACACTAAAAAAATTACTTGCCGGTATGACACTATAACTATGTGCTCTGCTTTCCTTCTTCTTGGTCTTTTTTCTATGGGAGTGGTGAATGATGTTTCTGATTATGTAAAGACTCAGAATCAATCTGGTGGGGAAGCACAGGTATTATATACTGCATATCACTGAACTGCTGCACAAAACAGAAATATTTTTCTTAAGGGCTTTTCTGTTGGGGCTTTTATCACTATGTCTACCAGCTTTGTGAAGAGTAATGAGTATTTTTTGCAGTTTGTCTGGAATCTGATATGGTGTTACTCTGTACAGAAGGGTGAAGTGACGCATAAGGAAATTAAAGGCATCAATTGCCAAGAATAATCAACTAATTTTAGGTACTGAATTCATGAAACCTGATTTATTCCTTTTTAACCCACTTAACTTGGATAACACTTTACATATTCAAGGCACCAATTCTTGCCACCAGCTGCAGCTCTGAATGCTCCAGTTCTGCTGATGAGTTTTGAGATGCTTCTCCAGCGCCCAAAAAAGTGCTCACCAATGTGAGTAATAAGTAGTATGTAGTAATACAGAATTATTGAAACGTGTATCCAAGTGATCTGCTCATCACTGCACTAGCAGTCTGTAACAGGGCAGCACTGCCTAGCAGTGGGGACATGCTGTATTTCCTACAACAGTTATTGTTTACTGGCACAGCTGCTTCTGCTACCAGTGCAGCAAGCTTGCTGCAGATCCCTTCATCTACACACAGGCTGAAAGGAGAACTGACCAGGGAATGCATGTCTCAGGATTAACTGCTCCAAAATCAAATGCTTTAAAATTCAATTTACTGTCTGGTTACTTCTATTTGGAAGAGCCTTCTTCTTCAAAATAAAGCTTTTGGTGTGCTGCTTTTCATTCAAAATGTCTACGTAGTTTTGTTACCAAGATATAAACAGCAAGCCAGCAGGTCTTCTAATTGGTGCAAAAGAGTATAGTACCCATTTCTTGAAAACACTGCTAAATCTTGCTTCCTTGTGTCAGTTTTGGTCAAACAGTGTTTCTTTTCCATTTTCCAGTGATGTTCTTCATGTCAATAGTTTGAATTTTATTTTAATTAATCTCCCCCATCCACAGAAGGCCACATTTCAGTGCACTGGTAAGTCACTACTGCCTGCTTGGTAATACAATAGATCAAAACTACCAGGAAGCCTGAGCGATCAGCAATATGTTAAATGTACACAGTATGTTAAATGCTTCAGTGTTTTCCCCATTACTCTCTCACTGCAGCATTTTCTTTCTTTTCAGTGCAGCTCTAACAACTCTACAGCACTTGCGTTACCCCAGAGCCACTGCAGAAAACAGCTCTGCTGTACTGTGCACAATTCAGGAACTGATCATATGAAGTAAGAAAAAAAGAAGAGAGGCTGGTTCTATTTTGCAGCTCCTAAAGCAGAAATGAGTCTTACAAACAATGCCTTACTCTCCAGTCTTATCCCTAACAGTAATATTTTCTTCAAAAGGATGAGATATAAAATAAATATTTATTCCATGTGTGCATACACACAATGTACTCAGAAAGACTCTCTGAAATCTTGGTGGAGAAAAACTGTATCTGTAGGACTGCATTTTCAGAAGACACAAAATAGTTTGAGTATTAATTATTCTTCATTTGAAGTTTAAGATAGGATTCTGTCATGGTGCTGGGTGCTTTTCTCACACAGATGCATCCCATGATATTAAAGACATAGTGTATTGTACATGTAAATTTCTGTAGGAGGTAGGTACCTAATCAGCCTTGATAACCACATCTAATTGTCTAAAATTAACTGAAAACTCCTAATAAATAGTACTTTCCTCCACCTGTGTTAGAAGTCACATGACATTCAGGAGCAGAAATGAGAGGGAGCACACAAATTCAGAGAGCAAGATAAGCAAATCTTCCACAGCATCATCCACAAGTTGCTGAATTCCTCAACTCAGTTTTCTGCTAGTTTTCTTCATGTCAATCCCCTACAAAAAACCAAAAACCAAACAAAACCAAAACCACAACAAAAAAACCTGACTTCCACTCTCAGTTTTCTACATGAAAAAATTCCTGTGCTGCTGACTTTGAGAAACAGTCTTCTCAGTAGGAAGTCCAGACCAGTAACAGCTTACTCAAGGAAATCAGAGAATAAGTTAATACCACTGCTTCACCTTTCATAGCCCACTACCCATGGAAAATCTCCCAACATGCACAGGCTCAGTGATAAGATAACTGTAATGGAGAAACCAGATGTTTGTGGAAAAAGCACATATTAATATTAAATGCTTCTAAGATTTTTTCACATGCCTGAAATATTAAAACTGCCTACACTAGTAGACTTTTGATGAGCATTGAACAGCTGAAGCTCTCATTGTTTCATACATAGAACACTACATGTATTTGATTTTGGCAGTTTTATTGTTTTGTGAGATCTTAAATGGATTAGACTAGAAATTAAAAGTTGTACAAGTCAGATGCTGCAGCTTCCCAGAATGAATAGAGAACTGTTATATAACAGGAAAAGGAAGACATGAGCTTCTCTGTAGTGGAGGGAAAATTTACACCAACTTGCTTAGGTTTAATTCATCTCACAGTGCACATTAGGAATAAATCATCCAAGGATTAAATGGAAAAGGTCATTACAGTGAAATTATGCATTGTGTCCTGAGAGGATAACAGTAAGGCATGGCCACATCGCCATTCTACAAAAAAAAATCTGGAATTTAAATGCATGATCAGAATATTTGCTTTTACTAGTGCTTTTTCTCAACACCCAGACAAATTAGATACCTGAAGCACTCTTAGATTCATAAAGGAGTAAAATGGACTGGGCTAAGTAAGTTGGAGCTATTAATTTTTTTTTCAGTTTGCCACAGTAGTTCCAAACTGCATGGCAATGAAATGTGATAGAAGACTATGCTTAAGTATCCTCTGTCTTTGTCTGAAGGGTCCAACAAGGTGAAGGCCATTGCTCTGTCTTTGCAGTATTTGGTTCAATGTAATGATCTTCTCTCAGCTCAGACCCATATTTACCATCTGCTGATTCTTGGTCTTTGAAGGCTGCAGGTGGAATCTGTACAGCAGACATGATATCTTTTTTGTAGGTATTTATTTCTTTTTCAGCAACAGAGTCTGCTTGGCTTGAATTATTAGATCTTTCAGACAAGCCAATATAGTCATGGTCAAAAACTACTGCACCTTGTAGAATGTAATGGTTGCCTGTAAAAGGAAAGTAGCCATTAGTTCAGATCTATGAAGCCATACTTGAAATGTTAGTGAGGTGCTAACTTAATTTTCAAAACAATTTCCAAAAGACGAGATGAATGCTTGAGTGACAGTAAACTGATTATGTGAATTTCCCAATTTCACTGAGGAACAAATGTTTGTCATCTCGTTACATCCACAAAATAATCTCTGGGATTATCCACATTTAGAGCTTTTCCTAGCTAAGTCAATGATTAGCTTGATGTCTATCTTAGTCACCTACTGAGCTCATGCTTGAATAAATAGACATGGATATTCTTTCATTTTGTACATGCACATGAATAAATGTGGTTTCTTCATGCTCTTGATGGAAAATCTTAGTTCAACACACAACAGGCTTCCTTAAACCATAGAAAGTTTTAAAAGTAAGTAAAGTAGGTAAGTTTAAAAAAAAAAACAAAACACCAAAATCTATCCCAGCCAAGACGAAGACTGTTACTTCCTGAAAAAGGGAATTGTATGTTTACACACTGCTTCTGCAATACTCAGCAGTAAACAAATTAGGCTCTAATACTACAGAGACCACTACTTTCAGCTTTTTATACAGTGACACAATTTACTAAAAGTTATTGTAATAGATTTTATTCATTATCTACATGCTTGATATGCATGTCACTTCCTCCTCATGCATCAGCAATTTAATGAGGAACCAGAAGGCACAGAGTGGTCATCCAAAAAAAGTAGAGGCCTCATGACATGCCATGAAATCAGTATCTTAGTTACAAAATCCATAACTGATGACTGACATAAATATTTCAGCTTGTTACATGAAATTCCAGAATTAGTTTCAGCTTTGCAAATCTCTCAGCTTTAAGAGGTGATGGAAGAAATTACCATCTCAATATAGTTTATCTATTTACAAGAACCAAAGTTTGACCACATGTGCCAATAGTGTGGGAATTGTTCTGCTCTTCAAGAACTCTGAAGTACAAAGCAGCTTGTTCTGTGACAGAAGTCTTCTGTATACCAAGTATTTTATTTTTTTGAAAATGCCTCTGGTGACTCAAAGACAGCATGAGCAGAAAAGAAACAGCTGCCACTGTTTGATTTGCGAAAGGGCATGATGAATATGTAAGACCAAAAGCAGAAGCTGGTTATGCAGATCTTTGGAAATTTCCAGCCATCCTACCACAGAGCATGACAATTCTATTTACTCTTGTAAGAGAAACGCTGACTTATTTAATAGGACAATTTAAAATAAACTATTCCAAAATCAGTTCCCTGATGTAGTCTTTCTATTTTAAGGCTTTAGAAGACACTCCAATGTTGTAAACAAAAAAAAAAAAAGTTTCCGTTGCACAAGCAAAATTAATGTGAATCCTGCCTACACCAAGAGAGCCAGAAAATGCTCCTTGAATATAGGTCAACCTCCTTATACTTCTAGCATGTTCTTATACTTCTGTCAGCCAGCACAAATCGATCCAAGCCAGTGATTAGAAGCAACTTTAATAGAGGCTATTTTTAAAAAGACTTTGAACATTATTCATGAGCTCTGCTCCATGCTCTGCATAGTTTGACATCACTCACTATTCTCCTTACTTAGCTATTACACTATTGTGTGTGCTAATATAACTCCCACTGGTTAGTGAATGATACTTTTTCATTTTAATAACCTAACACCACAACAGAGAAGTTAAGAAAACAAAACAAAAACCCAAGTCTTTTTACATACATAAAACCACAAACTTAAAAACAATTATATACACCTTTTTCACTGGACCCTCTTAAATATGGCTTGAGGTGAGACATCTTGATGGGTCTTTTCAGCCTTGAACCTGTGGAATCTCTTAATATTGCACAGCCATTTTCTGTGATGTAATCTATGATACAAGGACCAATCCATTCCGACTGGAAACGACCATCTTTCCACCAGTTTTTTCTTTGCCTGAGGACTTCATGACCAACTTTAAGTTGAAGGGTATTTAATAGTTTTGACTTCCTTTTAACTGTGATTTTGGTTCTGATTTTTTGTTCATCTGAAGTTTTTTTATCTGCCTACAGAAAGATAAATGTAAATTACTTTTTTTTTTATCCCAAAAGTAATAATGCAATTTTGTAGCATTGAGTAAAAGTGCTTAAGCAGGACATTGAGTGGTTTTAGATGTGTGTAGTTTGTAATTATGTGGGACTGAAAAGTGATTAAGAAATTGCTTTTATCTTCATAAATCACTACTCCATAGGCAACAGTTTTCAACTTCTCTATTCTGCCCTCTAAGTCAGACAGAGTAAACTTCTGACAATAGGTCTCTTTTAAGGTTACTCCCTCCAAATACAAATGTGTTACACTGAAATTAAGGGATCATGGGGGAAGAAAAACAAACTAAAAACCACCACTAAAATCCCCACATTATTTTAAAAGGTTAGTTATACTTTATGCCTCAGACCTTTTCATCTTTATCTTCAGTCTTCTTACTAGTAAAATTTCAATACATAACATTTACCTGGTAATCTGAGGTTTTGTCTTCTTCCAGTGCTTGACTGAGTTTTTTAGTTGCTTCAAATACTTTGGCAAAACTACTGTATTCTCCTTTCACACGTATATTCATGGGCTCAACAACACGTGGGTTACGGTTGAACATTTGGAAATACGGGGTGTTTTGATCTGGCTCCTATTTACATGGGGACCAAAAGCAAGCAAATTTAGCGTACATCTTTGCTGACATTTTGGAGGACTTCAGTCAAAAGAAGAAGAATCTTTACATACCAAATTTCTCAAATTGAAAGCATAGGCTATAGCAGATAAATGTTCATCCCAATTATTTGGATGGTCTATGCAATACTTGTTAAGGAAAGTTTTGATTGTCTTGGACATTGTTTCATTTACATCATGTGTCTGAGGACAAGACAATACAATTTGCTTCATTCCAAACAGTGCAAACAGTTCTTCATTTATCTTCAAAATAAGAAGAACACAATTAGTGAACATTTCTCCTGTTCTGTATCCCATTTCAAGTAAAAAAAACCTCAGATTTCCACCCCTTTGGATGATATGATGGTGACTGGGAAAATCTTCCATACATATTGGCACAGAACACACCACAACTGTGAGCGAGAGCTAAACCATTAAGTAGGGCTTAGGAGCCAGTGATTGATGGTTCCTAACCACATTTTTGCCACTCAACTCGATCTGTCATTACTTCCATGTCACAATCTGATGACTTCATCATCTCTTACAGGAACAAAGTGTGGTAAGTCCTTCATAGTAACTATAAGCCAACTTCAAAAATTCCCTTAGCTATTGCTATACTGGGCAATATGGAAGAATGACATACATCAGAATGCAGTGTACAAATTTATGCCAATTCAAATGAGTGACAAAACTTGCACTATGACTGCCAGGAAATATTTTACTTTGCTCTTTTTACAAAGAATAAAGTCCTAGGAAACATTGCATAGCATTACAATTGCAAATAATTGGTTTGACTTTTTTTTTGAATTGTGCAAATGCCTTTACTTTTTCAATTAAAGAAAAAAAATACTGAAGTCTTTCTGAAAAAAAAAAAATCTAACATTCAATTCTAAGGGAAAATGTATTTTTCTTGAGGGGAAAAAACAACAACAAAAAAGTGATTAACCAGCTATGTAAATAATTACCTGACAAACAAGCTCCTTCCCCTGATCAATAGGCATCTTTTGAGGTGGCCCATATAAGAAAAACACATTTATGATTGCCTTTGCAATTTCAGCCGCTGAAGTGTCATGCAGTGGTAAGATAACAGTCCATCTTGTAAACAAATCTGTCATAATTATGATGTATTTGTGACTTCTGTTGGTAATACTGAAAGGTCCCATTAGCTCTATAGTGACTGCTGTCCACGGGTCCTCTGCTTTGATAGGGTGTATTTTGGGCACTCTGGTGGTTATGTTCTTTGCCACCTGGCAATGCTGGCAAGCATGCACCTAGAGAAGACATCAGGGAAGGTGTTATCAATGAAAAGTGACAGTGAGGTGATGACAACCATCAGAATCATACATCTCCACTATTTCTCTGTAAATCAGGTCAAACCAGGCAATGCAAAACAAATTTGTCACTTTTCTTACAATTTTTTACCCTTAGATTTTTCAGAAACAGCATAAAACCAAAATAAAACCAAACAATACTGAAGGCCAGAAGAGGGACATGTAAAAGAACTCAAAGCTGAATTCTCTCCATTCTGAAAACACTGTGCTCTTTTGAGTCCACAGTACAAATTTTAAAATCCACTATCATCTGTAAATAATAAAGGAAGTAGGAAGCAACTGGGATTGAAAGGAAGTCCTAATCATTCCCCTTTTGGCTCATCTATGTATGCTGTGGCTGAAAAACACTGGAAGTATATATTATCTTCCATGCACAACTTAATCTACAGGACAGAGCACCTTTGTCCAATCTAAGTTGAAAGGAATGACTCTTTTTCACTTCCTGTAACAGTTTTACATGGACTCAAAGTATTCACATGGTGCAGCACGACAACAGGAACACTAATTTGGCCTTAAACTATTTACATGGTTTCCTGAATGATCAAATTCTGCTAGGGGTTCCTACCCCTGTATCTTTGGGTGGAGGAGAAGGAATTTTCCGAAGCTTTGACATGTTTAACTATTTCCTGAACACAGCTTATTGTAAAGCAGAGACACCATTTTCATATTCTTAGCTAGCAGCTACTCTGGTCAGACATCCTTGTGATGGCACATTGCATCCTAACAAAGATATGTGAGAGCACTTGCACAAGAAATCTCTCTCAGGGACTGGATGTGCCCTGCCTACCAAAAGAGGTTATGGCTCCCCACCACACCATAGTGGTGTGCAAGCCAGTAGTAAAAGAGTAAAAAGTAGTAAAAGAGTAAAACGAAACACCATGCATTGCCAAGATGACCAGCTGGAGTGTGACTGCAAGCTTACATTTCCTCCTTGCGAAACAGCCTGGGCATTTGCTGTACCAGAGTTCATAGGATTACCAAATATTTGTAACAGACTATATAAAGTATCCTGTAGTTATGAAGCCATACCCACTGCTTGACATCATTTGTTACAGAGGTCCAGTAGTAATTAGACTCCACTAAAGTCAGTGTCCTTGATATACCATGATGAGTGCCTGCAGCATTTTTGTGGCATTTCTCGAGGACCTTTTTCTTCTCTTCATCTGAAACAATTACCAGGCGCATTTGTTTTCTGTCTTTTCCAACATAGAACAACTTGTTTTCTGAAAGAAGTACCAGCAAATTATAAGCAAGTGCTTTGACTTCTGTTTAGTTTACTAAACTATTGAGCATGACTCAGAATAGATTTTATTGCAATAAGTTCAATTTTGTAATCATAGCTTGTTGCTTACAAACATTTCAATTACGTCCTCCAAAGAGCCATTAGTTCAGCCATGCTTGTTATCTGGACACAATGAATACAAGTGCAAGTCAGAATGCAAACAGCATTCCCACAGGAAATCTGAATGAAACCCAGACTAACACTGGGGTTGGAAAGGGGAGGTAGGAGTGTTGAAACTGTTGTTTGTGAAGCTGTTGGGTGCCTGCCAGAAATCTGACACTGATAGTCAAAGATTTAACTCCTCCCTGCCTTCTCTCAACACAACACTGGCAGTTTTGATGGGATTGAGACAGTACTGCAGACTGCAATGGCTCATAGAGGCTCATATATCTCCCAGGGCTGCAATAAAGTCGGGAAGGGCCTGCAGGCTCTCAGGTGACTGATGGCAAAATTGTCCTTGTACTTCTGCCAGCCATCCTCCAGACTGGATGGAGCATTCCTTGTCTCTAGCTGCAGATCTATTTCCCTTTCTGTAATCCTTTCAATTATGGATTGCAGTGACTACATATTTCTACAGTATAAAAAAGATATAAAATGAGGTTTGGCTTTAATATAGATAAATAAACCTGTCCTGGAATGGACTAAAGCAGACTGAGCTTCTATTGCTACAAACATCCTGTTATATATTAACCAGGGATTTGCAGAGCATTTCCCTCATGGAGAATGCTTATTAAAATCACAGAATGCTGCAGAGCAAGAACTCATTTTTTTTCATATTAGCAAATCTTCATATTAATGTCTATTTTTAGCATAACTTGAGAAAAAAGTTTTACCCTTGAAAACAAATTTTTTGGCAGCTCTCCTGATTCCACTTCTTTCACTTGATAATGTTGTGGGATGATATTCCCCTGTTCGCTTGTAGTATGCAATCTGCTTCAGGTGAAGCCCACCACTTTTTCCACTACGAACCATTGCCAATCTGAACAAAATGGACAGAATTTATCAGATAAATTGTCAGAGAAGCACATTGTCAAGTTTTTACTGATTTTACTGAGCTACTGATTTGTAGCTCAGAAGCATCCTGGTCAGGTAGCCTCTAAGAAGAGGTTACACCATCCACTATACACATCCACCATCAACTTTAGCAACAAGGAGCACTGCTTGAAACACTAATTTTGTTCTAAGCAGAGCTGGTTTTGTCAAACTATATTTTAAAATTTCCACACAATGGAGGGTTCTACCGCACTCATTTAACAGGGAAAGGGAATGGTATCAGAGAGAAAGAAATTGTTCTTCTCATTCTTGGATACCTCTTAAATTCGGTTATGCTTGAGATAGTCCAAAGATCCAACTTAGTTGAGAAAAATCTACATAGGCAAATAGGAAAAAAAAACAACTTCCCTGAGAGAAACTAATGGAAATTTATTTTTTCACTAATTAATCACACAATTAGATTCTGAAATTTCAAACCAGACTCTGCATACAAGGTAACAATTCATTCTTTGAAACAAGCTGACTTCCCTGATAACATTAAAAAGCAATAATGTCATTAGTAAAATGGGCCACTGATCAGAACCTGTTTAGGTTTAGAAAATAGCATCAAAAAATTATGTAATAATAAAAATTTAAATATTCACAGGCAGAATTATTGATGCAGGCTCTAAATCATTTGAGTGGTTTGCTTTTTTTCCAAATCTTTTCCAGCAGCATAGACAAGGCAGTAATTTATTCCTGCTCCCATCAATGTCTACAGGAGCCGGACCAAACTTGGGGTCTGCCATGTCATAATTTTATAGTGAATACTGGTTATCCACAGCATTAAGTAAATTTATTACTTATCCTGCCATTGTTCCAGTGCCAGACTGAGACATTATGTAGCCTGCTAAAAAGAGTAAATAGTTTGTCTGCCATATGTGCTCAGTGGCTTATAATTATAAGGAAGTGACAGTATCCAGTCACTTTGGAATGCACATCATCTCATTATGTGATTATGCTATTTGAAAACAAAATGTGTAGGACAAGATGTCTATTTTTCAATTTATAGCTTCTGAGTTACCTTTACTATGCTGGTGGTATGAAGGAGGTAAAGACCTCTTAAGAGTGATTATGCCTGCTTTCACTTTATCCTTTCCTCCCAGAAAATAAAATGCTGTATGTTATTTTTGGAACCTGCACCCTGAGCTAAGCACTGCTGTTAGCAATGGCAAATGCATGACAGGAACTTCCCGTTCAAAACGTGACAAGACTTTTGCCTCACTTCATTATTCTGGTTTTGAAAACCGGACTAGAGCTGGTTTTCAAAACAAGCCAAGTCTCTTATCATAGAGCATTAGTGTTTTAAAGCAAAATTTTCATACCTGAGAGAACTAACACTGATGTACTTCCCAACACCACGATCTCACCTGTGAAGAAAGATGGTGTTTCAGAACAGGGAAGGAGAGGAGCCAGAACACAGAACTGTTCTGACACATCAGTTTCCTGTAAATTTACATCTGACACATACTAAACCAAGCACCGAGCTGGTAAACTGGATAACTAACAGCACAAAAGCAGGTGAGGTTGCCATTAAGTACATTCATGTTTCTGTTATTTAAAAGAAGTCAATTAACTAGTAAAAGGACATTGGTGAAGGGCAATTAAAATATCCCATCTGCCAGGGGCACACATTCAAGGCCAGTCCTACACTTAAGTTACCTGAAGTCAAAACTAGCCCAGTATGACCTGTCACTTGACCACAGAGATGATGGATTTTTTTGGCTTGACACAGACTTTCATACATGGGAAGAAAAGATCTTACAGAACACTCTTTATTCTTCCAGTACTTTTGAAACTTGCCTGAAGCAGCATATATTCTCCATGGAGCCCAAAACTGCCCATTTTAATAAAATGAAGATTTAATTCATTTTAATTCACAGCAACAAAATACTTCTAAGCAGGACCACAGCATACACTTCTGCTAAGTAGACATGCTATCCACATTTCTGCAATGGCAGTTTCTATTATAAGCATTTTTAAGAGCTTAGGTAAACCAATGAAGAAAGAATGTGCTATGTAGCACCTACATACATTAATTTAGAAGGATCCTGATCCAGCAAACTGTTAAGTACTTAAGTCTGCTGGACTGCTGCCTGATATGAGCTTCCTTCCTGGATATTTAATTTCTTGTGCCCCTACTAATCTTTTCCCCCACTACCTAACTGACGTTCTTTGTCCTACTTCTAAAAAATGCCAAATAAAACAGTCCTGAAAAGAACAATTCATAAAATCTTCTGTTTTTCTTATTTATTCAGTTAATTCATATGCTATGTCTCAACACACATCTGGTAGTCTAAAAATCAAAGACATAAAATCAGCTATCCATTTTTAGTACCTTAGAAGCTCACAAAGTATACACTAGAAAGTATTTTAGCAAGGCAAATGAAACTTCCATACAACCAGTGGTCTTTTAGCTTTAGTGGCTTAGCCAAAACAGTCACATCTGCTAAAACTAAGCTATTTCATCCTTTAATGCCCATTTTCTCCTACAGACAAACACAATCCTAACTGCAAAACTATTCTTTTAGTCCAGCTTTTGAAAAATTCCTCTACTTCTGACTGCTGTTCCTACAACAAACAGGAATTGCCTGTGGAGATGTGAATCACGGTCACAGAATGGTTTGGGTTGGGATGGACTTTAAAGATAATCAACTTCCAAACTGCTACCGGGTTCAGGCAGCACAACCTTCCACTAGATGAGCTTCCTCAGAGTCCCAAAACCACTTGGGTTCGAACACTTCAAGGAATGGGACAGACACAGCTTTTCTGGACAACCTGCTCTAGTACCTCACCATCCTCTCAGTAAAGATTTTTTTTCCTAATATCCGGTCTAAACTTGAGCTCTTTCTTTGAATGCATACCTCCTTGTCGTATCATGTATGTTATGTTCATATGTTCATGTAAGAAGTCTCCCTCCTGTTCCTATTACAGGCTGTCTCCAGTACACAGCTTCAAAACACCGCTTTTCTAACCCAGGTGCTTCCAAAAATGCGTAAATCAGACTGACCGACTCGCCTACATTCCTCCCTGATTTTGCAAGTGCGACAGAGGGCTGGGAAGGGCGCCTATGAGGCTGAGTGGGTAGGCACGCGAAGTCGCATCTCGCCGCCCGCGGTAGAGTCAGCCGCCATCCAGAATTCCATAGATTCCTCTCGGAAAGGCGCCTCCGCATCCTCCCTCCCGCCCACAGCACTACACATCCCAGAGTGCAACGCGCCCGCGCAGGGTATGCCGGGAGCGGCGGTCGCGAGTAACCGTCCCCTGGGCCCCGCACCCCGCGCATGCACGAGGCGAGGCCAACGCGAACTTTTTGCTTCCCGCCACCGCCCCCCCGCCCCCCGCCACTCTCTCGGCCCGGTGGGCACACCCGTGAACATCCGCCGTGCCGCGGGCACGCACCTGCTCCTGCAGAGGTACCGGAAAGGCCTGTCGCGGGTGCCACAGTTTCCTGGTCAGACCAACCACAGCTACGGCCCCAGCGGCGCCCGAGACTTTTGTGGCGCCCCCGGAAGTGGCGAGAGGGAGAGGAGGGGGCGGGACAGTGGCGGCACCGCCTCCTGGGGTGATTGCGGGGCCGCCGCGAGCAGGTGAGGTGGCCGTTCCCTCCTTCCTTCCCATTCCTGGCCTGGCCGGGACGCAGGTAGGCAGCGCGGTGACTGAGGCGATCGGGAGTTCCCGTGAGAAGCGGTGTCGCAGTGGGCGGGCAGCGCAGGCGGTGCGGCGGGCAGGGCCCCGTGCGTTCCGCCTCCGGTTCCTCGGGCACGCCCAAGGCTGCTGCGGCGGGCACGGTCCATGTGCACGGTCAGCGCTTTGTCTCTGGGTTGTTCTGCTCTCGGACAGTGTTTTCTGAAGCAGCGGCGGTGCCGCATACCCGGTGTGTGAGGTTGCGGTGTGCGGTGCTATCAGTGTCAGGTGAAGCGTTTTGGCACAGATGAACACGGGGTGAAAGGCGGTGTGTGCCTAAATGGGAATGGGGAGGGAAGTGATAGAGCACTTCTTGAAGCTCTGCGTTTGGAGCACTCTGTTAACATCCCGAAAAACTGATGATAAATTCAGTGTAAAATAAGCTGGAGCAAGGGAGAAGGCTGACTGTAATCATAATG